TGTTTGCTTTATTATTTTTTTTCTCAAAAATTAGTCGTTTTTGGGAAAATTTTAGAGAGACAAAAAAGTTTTAGGATACTTTCATCTACCTATGTAAAATTTTTCTAATGTATTTATCATCTGCATACAAAAAATTTTAGCAAAAAAGTAAAGGGGGTGGTTACGTTTAGTAGTTTAGAAGGGTAGGTTGAAAGTACAAATAGGGTCAAAACGTGCCCTATTATGAGTTAAACATATTCCCCAAATTTCATTTTCCTAGCGTTTATGGTTTTTGAGAAAAAATAATTAAACCAAAATTTTCCGCCATTTTTGGAGGGGTGTAGCTCCTTAGGGGAGCCGAAATCGCCCATGGTTCATATATCAAAGTACCCTTAAAATTCACTAAAGAATCACCCCTATAAGTTTGTTGCAGTCATTCAGATATACCCTGTATACTTATGCAAGAATTTACATTATTATAAACTGGAAAGACAGAAAATAATAACCAAAACAAAACACATTAACTTTTTATTAATAAATAATTATTAATTATATAACATTTTAAAAGAACTTAATAATTTTTAACAATAACCCTTATAATTAACATAAACTAAGAAGAAAATATTTAAAACAATTCTGATTGATCACGTTAACCTTTTGTTTATAAATAATAGTTAGTTCATTTTAAAAGAACTGAACATTCCTTAATAATAAACTTTACTTGAACTTCATTGTTCATTTCAAGTCAACTAACCAGAAACATTTTATGGACTGTTGTAAATAATCTTCTAACCTACCAAATTATAAAAATATATATATGAAACAAAAAGAATTCAAAAATCTTCAACAAAAATAAAATTTTTATAAAAATAAGAATATGTTTATGAGAATTGTAAGGTTATAATTGTAGGTACAATAGAGACTTGAAACTATAGCTAAGTTCAGGTCGGTACATCCATCATGTCTGACTTTCTGATTACCCCCACCACCACCACATACGCACTCTAGATTATATATAAGATCTCAATGCTTTGAATGTCTTCGAGTCATCCTCTCCTATATATTTCACATATTCACTCCATCCTTTTCTAGCGATCTCTCAAACATTTCTATCACAGCATCAACCTCTATTTTTCCAGCACTTCCCTTATTATTTATTGTGCAAGAATCTTTATGTTCTTCATACCAATATTCGAAGGCGTCGATATCAGATTTTTTTTCCATTGATTATAAGCTTGGCAAAAATTTGATTTCACTATGCTATCGAGAACTTTCTTGCTATACTTACCTACAAGCGTAGTGACACCAAAAAGTTAGGAGAATCCTCTTTTCTTCCAAATACCATCTCCAGAAGCCGTCAAATATATCGGATTATCATCGGGATTAGATAGTAATATTAATTCTTTTTCTTCTTCAACAGCTTTTGAAATAACTTTATCATAAACTTCATTATACTGCAAGATATATTTAGGACTCCTACAAGTCTCGTTAAGTTTTTCTTGTTAACATCTTTTCTTAGTTTTAACGTCGTACCTAACTTAAACCAATAAACAATCATCGTGGATCGATGTGTGCCCTTTTTCAATTAACTTTCACCATGATGAGCCTTGAAAACTTTAATTGCGAAACTCCCTTGACTGTATGAATAATAATAATACTGGGTGCATAATACGTTATTTGAAAAATATGAAATGATTCATCGCCCAAAGTTTCAGAATGTTTTGGTGAAGACATAATTTTAATTTTTAGTTAATAGATATTAGCATAAAATGAGTAATTAAATTAAAAATTATTAAATTAAACCACACCTTATAATCTCCATTACAATAATTATTTTTCATATTGCAACTTTAATAATAGAAATCTTTGAATTAATTAAAAAGAAATACAACATTAAGCCTCTCTTAATCCCTTCACATCAAATTACTAATAANTATGGCGCTAAAGTGAAATTTACTTTAGCGCCATAACGCTGAAGTACTTTTTTGCTATGTTGATCTTACCAACCGTCGTTATGCAACAATGACTTACTTCTACCGCGAGTAAACACGACAACAAAGTTGTCATTTAATGACGTTTGAAGAAAATAGTATATTGTTTTATATGGAAGAGAAGCAGTGCTTTTTATGGCGTGGTCTGTCGCTTAGCGACGAACGCAGTGAGTCGCTAATGACAGATGAGCCGTTAAAATTGTGGCGTGTCCGACAGTTTGCCGGACGAACGAAGTGAGTCCGGCAATGACGGACCAGCCACAAACGAATCTGCTTCTCTTCCGAATAAAACATAGTATTTTTTCTTCAAACGTTGCAAATAATACGGCGCTAAAGTGAAATGTTCTTCAACGTTATGGCGCTAAAGTGAAATTTACTTTAGCGCCATAACGCTGAAGTACTTTTTTGCTATGTTGATCTTAGCAACCGTCGTTATGCAACAATGACTTACTTCTACCGCGAGTAAACACGACAACAAAGTTGTCATTTAATGACGTTTGAAGAAAAAGTACTTTACCTGCCGCATATGCGGCAGACAAAGTACTTTACCTGCCACTAATTGCTGTCAATTTGAAAAAAATGCCGTTGAACAGCTGGATTTGAACCCCGGTACCTTCTGTATGAAAGCGCACTTCCCTCTCCACTATACTACCGACCTTTGACACAGTGTAACTTTACCGAGGTATATTAACAAAACAAATCGTTTGATACATGTCATAATATTGGTAAGTTAGAATATCTTCATTTCGTTAAATTTTGCGGTTGGCGATAAAATGTTGTATGCAACACATCAGCAAAGTGTCTTTATGGAACTCGCCTGTTACTCGCCTCGCTCGCTTCGCTCACTCGAGTCGTAAACTCATCGTCAGACTCATTCGATAAAGCATCACTTTGCCGACTTGGTACATAAATAACTATTAATAATAACCCTTACAATTAACATAAACTAAGAAGAAGAATATTTAAAACAATTCTGATTGATCACGTTAACCTTTTGTTTATAAATAATAGTTAGTTTATTTTAAAAGAACTGAACATTCCTTAATAATAAACTTTACTTGAACTTCATTGTTAATATATATCATAATAACAACAATATATTTATGAGAATTGTGAGGTTATAATTGTAGGTACAATAGAGACTTGAAACTATAGCTAAGTTCAGGTCGGTACATCCAACATGTCTGTCTGACTTTCTGACATCGAGATACATATAATTTACTGGAGTACGTGCTCACGATATTCGCTTGGTCGAGAAAACGGTCCGATTCGCCAGCATGTTCCCCCACCCTATAACGGCAAGAAATACAAATAGTACTAACTAATGGATATAATTCAGCATGAATTTATTCAATATTTACTAAGTAATTCAAATAATGTTATTCAATAATGATGAAAAATACCAAATAATACATATTTAGGTTATTATAGTTAGGAAAAAAAAAAATAATAAATTTTACGTAAAATTTCTAATACTTTCTTTTAAATTAGGTTATAAACCCGAAATTATCCGAAATGGCGAGTAGATGTGGTAACTTCAGTGGTAAAAGTAGATGGGGTGGTGGCGGAAACGGAGGAGGTTATGGAGGCGGTTTTCGCGGTAGAGAAAATTCAGGTCCAAGACAAAATAGATTCGGTGCTGGAAAACCGGCTTACAGATCTTCAAATGGATATTCAAATGGCAATTGTAAGGATATATTTAAAAATTTTTGAATCAAAATAATGATGTTTTATATTTTCAGCGTACAACAACAGAGATTTTTAGATTAAAGAAGTAATAAAAGAGTTTCATCTTGTTTTTCACGTACGCTTAGTAAATTGTTCGTTTGGAGACCGATAGATACAGTATTCTTCTCTCTCTTCAAGGTCATTCCGTAGTCTCCAACATAATGATGGGGTTCGTTCGGTTTGTTCACCTTTTTTAGTTTAAGAAGTATATGCCCTGAGATCATCAGGTGTTTTTTATTTGATAGTAGTTTCATTAGAATCGCAAAAAAAAATAGAAAATATTTCTTTATTTATGTCGGAACTGTGATTAGGATAAAGAAAAGTGCCAGGAGGCGTTTTATTTTTTTTTTCTCATAATTTGATTTAATTTATTGTTGTACAACGATACCTTCGCGATTATGTGGTTGTTGTATCTTAATTAAAAAAATTAATAAAGAATAAAAACTTTTGTATTGATAATGAATTGTGAGTTTATTTTTATATTAGAAATTCCGCTTCACCTTGTCATGTCATTTTAGGTCTTCCTTTTTCTTTTCTTTTACCCGGTTCCCCATTCAGTTATTACTCTTACTTGTGATTTCCGCTTCATCCTATATATATGCCTCAACCAATTTGCTGTTTGAATCTTGAAATGCATTTCATATTTTCCTCCTGTAACGCCTCAGAGATTTTGTGGGTTCTTACACAAGACTATTGGGTTTAGCCATACGTCTTCAGACGTACAGAATAGTATAATGATGTTGCTATTGCCAACACGCTGCTGTGGTTGTTTTGTCCTACAAGGCATTACTTGAAAAAAATAGATGTAAAAGACGTACGAGGATGTGGTGGTTGTTATCTTTAAATAAAAGCAGAGAACGGTAAATAAAGAATTTATTATTTTTAAGAAATAGAATACAATTTTCTTGAAAAGACGTTCGAAAGATAAAATCAAAAATGCACTTTAATTTAGTTAAATATAAAAAACCGCCACTATAAATTAGCCAATACTTCAAAGCTGGCTTTCTCGCGAACCGCGCATTGGATTTTGATGATTGTTTTTTTGATCGAATGGTTAACTGGAATCAAACGGTAGCCCAATCTTTTCTGAACATCTTGTTTTTTTATTCACTCTATTATCTCTATTACTAACGAAGATGCAGTGTTTTAAAGCGAACGCCTGTAAAAACAAGACAAACAAGCATAAAAAATGTAAGGTGGCGCGCTAGGTAGCGTATGTCATTTGTTTTGAATAGTAAATTGACAGTTGTTAAAGATTTTTACAGTCTTTTAACATAATAGCAATCCCGTTGTCAGTAACTGATGTTGCGCGTATTGTTACTTTAATTGAGGATGGCAAAAGTCAGCAATACGTTGCCCATACGTTGGGTATTCCCCGAACAACAGTTCAGGATGCCTGGAACCAATATGTGGAAACAGGAAATTTCACTAGGCGGCAAGGTTTCGGTANCTTACTTGTGATTTCCGCTTCATCCTATATGTACGCCTCAACTAATTTGCTGTTTGAATCTTGAAATGCATTTCATATTTTCCTCCTATAACGCCTTAGAGCTTTTGTGGGTAACTTTCTTACACAAGACTATCGGGTTTAGGCCCACTTTTACCACCTCCTGATAAATTTATCCCATAGATAAATCCAGTTCTTAGCCAATATGAGTGCTTAAAACCGTGGTATCCATGGCAACTATCCTCTAGATAGTTTATCAGGAGGATGGTAAAAATGGGCCTTAGGTCCATTACTACCATCTTCTGGTTAAGCTATCTAAGGGATTATTACCACGGTTATGGCTATTTTACGCGCTCTGATTGGCTAGTAGATTGGTTTATCTATAAGATAAATTTAACTAAAAGGTGGTAGTAATGGACTTTAGTCGTGCGTCTGCAGACGTACAGAATAGGATAATGATGTTGCTATTGCCAGCGCTGCTGTGGTTGTTTTGTCTTGCAAGGCATTACTTGAAAGAAATAGATATAAAAGACATACGCGGAGGTGGTGGTTGTTATCTTTAAATCATAGCAGAGAACAGTAAGTAAAGAATTTATTAAAAGACGTTCGAAAGATAAAATCAAAAATGCACTTTAATTTAGTTAAATATACAATAAAATATGCATGTATTATAGAGTTTGAAATTCATTGGGTTTTTGAATCTGAACGCGCTCCTAAAGTTGGATTGGATTTTTTTGATCTACTGTAATATGAAATGAAAAATTTCATTCAAAATTTGCCTCAAATATGATATTAGATTTACAAAAAGAACCTTTAGGCAAATTTGAAAACTTTTGTAGAATGTCAGCTGAAAACTGAATATTTTTTTATGAAAATTGGACCCAAAATACAAAAGCAAGACATCAACATGAGACCAGATTTTCTTGTGAAAGACCGCCATCTTCGATTTTTGGCTAGTCATCAAGTACATCATACTTTGTCAGGCTCTTGTAGAAGTTCCAAACAAAAAAATACTGGTAAGAAATAAATAACTTTGTTATCTTGCTATTAATTTTCTCTATTGATTTTTGTTTTTATTATTTTATTTAACTTAAACGGGACTTATTTGTTATTAAAAAACTTGAGTATTTTTATAATTTTCTTGATAGTTGCTGGGGAAGCTGCATGAGCAAGGCCAGGTGAATTTACATAAATTGGGCTAGGAGAAGAAATAGTTCTGGGGGGAGCAGGAGATATAGAGTTATCAACCTAACAATCAAGTTCACTGATCACTGCCTCAAAAACGAGGTTGTCTATTTCGTTTTGCAATATGACTTGCGTTCTTCGGGATAGTTTTCTTAATTTATTCGTGAGTAACTGCCCATACAACGAAGGTTCATCTAACGATGCGTGGAATTGCCGTTTGGAAATTAGGCTTGCTTTAAATGTTTCTTTACACTTAATTCTTGTTTGTGGCGCAATATTCTGTTTGTTGGTCTGGCGTCTGGGAATGTTTCTTGCTCAAGCTGAGAACTTTCAAGCTCTAAAGATTCCTCAACCTGTGTTTATTGTAAACCATAGTTACATTTTTCACATAGAATTATTTATTAAATTAAAAACTGCTAATAATTTTGTTTTTTAATTGCCAAAATCAGAGAAAGTATGGAAAATAATAGCAAATGAATTTAATCAACGATAGAACTTCAAGCACCATTCAATAATGAATCGGAATTTTATAATTATAAAAAGTATTTTAGTATCATACTTTTGGCATTTGTTGATGCAGACTATTGCTTCACATTTATTGACGTTGATGTACAAGGAAGAATAAATGACGCATTTTATACCAGGGACATGGCGCCAAGACACCAATAATTCATCGCTTACGCCACTTTCAAAAATACCCAGAAAATCGTCCCAGGACGCATAATATATTCAAAAGGAGTTTGTAGAATATGTTTCAACCAACGGAGCAGTTGAATAGCAAGATTATGTTAATTAGTTGATAGTAATACTTTTTATTTACTGTGTCTACTAAAATAAATCAAACCTCAGAATGCTTTTTATTTGAGGTGATTTGGATGGAGCATAAACATTCTTGGATCCAGAACCAGTACTTTCAGATTCTCGAACTATTTTTGATAAGAATCTGTACGTAGACTTAAGAGATTCCCTTTTTCTTCTCAATTCCGTTACTGACACATCCACACTGAATTCCTTTGCCACATGAATCCAAGCGTCGTTTAACTTGTTTCGGTTTTTATGGTGTCGGTCCTTGGGATTCCAAAACACAGAATACTTTTCGTATAGTTATAATATCACTATTAAATCATTTGTCCATTTCATTTTGAGTATCTGCAACACTACAAACTAATTTAAGTATTAAAATATCAATGGATTCTTGTAATATATAGATAATATGAAATATATATTATAGTTACCTGTCAAAATGTAAATGAATTGTTGGATTCCTCGGTAGGTCTTGCAATGAAAGACTTTCTACTTCACTTAACTATTTTCTTTATTATTTTACAAAACTTAATAATTCGTTGAACTTAATTATTCGTATTTCGATAATTGATTTGGTAACGATCTCGGTGTGGATTTAAAATTTGATATTTGATTTCGCGGGAACACCGTTACGGCTAGTTGGATGGTAATTGTTTTTCTGAACTGAGTTAGGGGCAATTATACAGCGTGTCCCGTATCTTCCACATCAGAGCATTATACGGTTGTAGGATACATTATTCTGAAGCGATCTTTCTAATAAAATTTTTTCGAAATGTTTGGGCCAGCCTCGGTCGGTCCGCTACGCCGATGATAACTCGTTTCCCACGTGTACTCACCAATAGATTCGACACGGAAAGAGAAATAAACTTTTTCTGTGAATCAAAGTTGTCCACTATTGGACGTCGTTAAACAGTTCCCGTGCGGTTATTATAAACATTTCAAAACAAATTTATTAGAAAAATCGCTGCAGCATAGTGTATCCTACAACCGTATAATGCTCTGATGCGGAAGATACGGGACAGCTTGTATACAGGATGTCTCACGTAACTGGTTCGTTAGAACTTTTTCAGGTTCCACTATTTGAAAATTGAAATTTTGGTAACATGGGTTGTTCATTCAGATCTTTCGGTCTAAAATATTTTCAATATGGCTACCACTTCCGGTCTACCGGAAGTAGACCATAAATTCGCTATTTTAAATGAAATGCTATAGTTTTTATTACACCATTGATAAAAGTTATTGGTACCTAGCGTTTTTCGTTTTCGAGTTATTTTGGTTTTAAGCTTTCTTTGGTAAATTTCGGTAAATTTTGGTAAAGGTCTAAATTGGCACGATTACTCTTCAGATGCTGTCAAATAGATTGTTATTTGTTGTATCGGAGTATCTTATACAGAGTGGTCAAAAATAGAATTACTGTTTCCCTATTTCCAATGGCGACAAAGTAGAAAATTTTAAATGGAACCCCCATATTTTTTAGCCTATCATAAAGGGAATTTATTTAATTCACTATAAATTATCTATAAACAATCCTATACCTATTTATTGTACTTTGCCTCATATTGGGAAACACGCTGTATTATGTGCGAAACAACAGAGTATAACATAAAGAGTAAAACCGATTTTTTTATTGCGGAATCTTGTAGTTTAAGGTTTGCATAATATTTTTGTAAAATTTCAATTTCAAATTAATTAAATTGTAGAAGTTATAAATGTAGAATTAACAAGGCGTATACACGCATAATATTGTACCTACATGAAACTATAAGTGCGTTTATCTTGAAACATTCTTTTTACATCTGGTTGACACAATTTCTAAAAAAACTACTCATTCGATTGACTTCAAATTTGAACTGCACCTTCAAATAGCATCTTTCTATCGTATGACCTACAGAGAAACTGATAGAATATATGCACGTTTCTTTTTTTGCAAGAAACTTACCGATTTCAAGAAAAAAAACGATTATCTTAATTTGACTAGGCGCTATTTTGCCAATAATGTTTTCTTTGGTTAATTCTAGTTCAAACGATAATCACAAGCATACAGAAAAAAACACCATTTGATTTNTCCAACTTTACTCATTGTTGAAATTTGGCGTGTACTCCAATGTATGTCTAAAAACAAGAAAAGACAACGTTGAATACGAAGTTTTATTACGTTTCATAAAGGAATAAGGGAGAAATCAACGAAAAAAGAATTAAATTTTGAAGGTTAATTCCGAGAAAAATCAAGAGATGACGCTAGTTTCGAAGCAAGAATTTTGAATTTTGAAAAGGGCGCGAAGCTAAGAGCCAATCAGAAATGAGGAAAAAACAGTTGGAGTGCCGGGGTATATAAGGAGATCACGAACAGGGAGTGAGAGAGTCGTCGTCGGACCAGTGTCGAATCAACGTCGTCAGATAGAAGAATTTTTGAAGAGATAACCTCAAAGAATTAAGATAATTTTTTAAAAAAGTCAAATCAACTTACGATATTAAAATAAAAAAAGAATCATCCTACAACCTATTCCAAGAACTACCGATACTTCTTCGAGATCATCCAAGACCCTATTTCCGAAGAACAAACAGTTCAATTTCCCGTAAGAAGAATTCTGTAGACAATCCAGAAAATTAGTTAGTGCCCCGAACACAAGAGACAATCCATAATCCAGATACCACATTGAACTCCAATCCATTATTTTTCACAGTGAGTCGGATGATAATTTTATTTTATTATTTAACATAACCTACAAAAAGAAAGTTCAAAGAATCAAACTCAAAGAACAACTCACAAGAGTTTCCAATAATTTTGATCAATACTTATTTGTGTGTAAAGATTTATTAGTTTTCTTAAATAACGTTCATTTATTTAATTCTATTTTTTTTTAACGAGTTTGATGACAACTTAAGATATCAGCCGTTTGTTATTTTCAAAGAACGGTTCTAACGAGTTTTATCCCAAGGTTTATATATTAATACAGGGTGGTTCAGTTTTTAATCGGGAAACTTTACTAGGATGTAGTACTTGCTAAAATAACACAATTTTTTTATATAAACATAGGGTCGCAACTCTTTTGTTTTCGAGCTATGAGCAATCAAAGTTGAGCCAAAAATTTACATTTTGTTTTGTATTTCGGTTGTAAGTAAACCGTAGAATTTTAAACTTTGTACGTGTATACTACTGGTCAACACCTTATTTTCTAGCATACCTTAAACTTCCTCAGCGCCCTCTAAGGGGATGAAATTCACCACCCCCTTTATTTTTTTTATATGAACTTTTTAACGCTATAGAATATTAACATTAAAAAATATGGGTTGTAAAGCTCATTCTTTAACGGTACTTTTTTGTCTCTTTAGTATTTTCCTTAAAGTTAATAGTTTCCATGTAAAAAATAAAATATCGTGCTATGGACTGCTATGTGTCGCCATGTTTATCTAAAATTATTCTAAAAGTTGCCTCATAATTGTTGATGATAATTAATAATTTTTGACTGTTAGTAAGCAACAGTATCAATTTTTTAATATTGTTTAAAACAACGTAATTTGTTCAGACAGGCATTAATCTTATTTATGATTTTTCTTATGAAAATCACAATTAATTGGTGTTATTTAGTTAGTACTTTCGATTATTAATTCG